TTGCCAACTGTTTTCTTCCTTGCCAAGTAAGAGAGTTGTTGTGAACTCTTCAGTGATGCCTTCCCCAGGATATTTGCAGATGTGGTTGGGAAAAGTCATTTCATCCCTGACCTTTGCATGTCAGGTGCTGGGGTGGGTGCCGCAGCCGCAGGCACGGCGGCACCCGGTGCCCAGGGCTCTCCCTTTGCGATCACAGATCAGGGGGCCGCAGGGCACCCAGTGCCCAGGGTGCTGCCTTGCCTGTGGCCAGGCTCTCCCTTCGCGATTGCTGATCATGGGGCCGAAGGCACGGAGGCACCCGGTGCCCAGGGTGCCACTGTGCCTGTGGCCTGGGCTCTCCCTTCACGATCACCAGCTTGGGGCGGGCAAAGGCGGCGGTTCTCTGATCCAGGGCTGGGGGTCAGGGCATAGGATGGGTTTACTCATCTGCAGTTAACACTTACTTGTTGAAGTAACCATTTATTCTAGGCCCTGCTTTCTGACTGATGCTAGTGTTCAAATATGATGATTGACTCTGTGAATATGTGAAAAGGTATAAATATGTTGTCACTTGCACAGAAGAATATTTTAGTGGTGGCCTTCTAAAGATAATACAACACAAAGGGATTAGTTTAAATTTGAAAAATAAGGGAAGACTACTTGAGGGCTAATGAGGACTTTCCGTACTCACACTGTATCTCCACCCGACAGACTTTTGATACTTATTCACTCTCACTCGCCTTCCTATTTCAGGTAAAGGAGTCTGCAAAACCAAGAAGAAAATGCTATTAGAACCACTGGTACACTCTGAACATGATTTACTCTTTAGTACTTTGTGCTCTTTTAGCACTAAACAGAAAAGTAACATAATATTATTCCTCTCTAATTTTTTGCTAATAGTTTTAACTAAAACATTGTACTCTTATATATGCAGAAACTTCGTACCAAATTCATAATAACAGATTTAACTGCCTATTGAAAAATTATAATTTGATGTTAACAAAGTGATATTTCCCCTTTAAAACAATGTAATTGACACTATGTATGGGCAGAATATGATTTTTAAATATTTCAAAGTTAGAGTATCTAACAATTAAATTAAATGTGGGTCAAGGTCTCTCAAGTTAAAATAAGGAAATAAGTACTTTAGGGAGTCTCACTCAAATAGTACTAGATTGATTATTGAAATGTCAGGTTTGTAGGTCAAAATAAATCCACAAAACATTAAAATCCCTTGAAATTCACATTGGTTTGCAACATTTGACACTTACTGGCAAAACAAAAAAAGCATGCAAATCTTTAAATAAATTCAGCAATTCACTCCCTGCACAAATTGTAAAAGAACAGTTTATGGCATCGACAACAGTTCAGTGACTATGTATAGTTTTCAAACATACTATTTGAGAATTTTCCTTATATATTAAAGTGAAAGTTCTTTGACCTTTGCTATGTTCATGCTAATATTATCTTGAGAAAGTAAGGCAGTCATGCTAAAGAAAGAGGACAGAAATCAGTGCTTAGAAAATTCTCTGACAATATGTTATAAACTGTGGCTCAACTTTATGAATGTTAACAGGAACAGTGGAAATTAAACTGTCTTACTCACCTGTCAGAAAATATAAGAAAAACGTGTATCTCAGACAAGTTCTTTACTTCTACTTGTCATTGAGAATCTAATGGCCTCAATTCTCAAAAAGAATAGTTGGAGAGGGAAAATAATCTGATGGAGCACAGAAGGATTAACACAATATTTGAAAAAATCTCCTCTTTGATATCCATGGAAACAGATAATCAACTAGAAATATATATAAAAACATGATTTCTTAATTCTTACATAATGCCAAAATAAATGCATTTGACCTTCAAATATAATAAATTAATAATAAAGATAATATACTAATGGGTAGAAAAAATTAAATGATAAATATAATAAATTCAGGTTCACATAATTATAATTACACATAATGATTTAAAAAATCAATATTCTTCTTAACTGCTTATCCTTAGACCATAGTCCATTAAGGGAATAAAATATAGACAGGATATAATATTACCTTACGAGCATTCATCACTTTAACAGCTGTAAATGCACCAGTTTTTTCATGGAGACCCTGAAACATAGCATAGTAATAAACATTAAATGCTGGCTATAGAATCAAGTAGTCAAACATCAAAGTTAAAATATTACAATAAAATAAGGCTAAAAACTGTAGCTTATCTAAAATACTATATGGAGAGTAAATATAAGGTATAATATAGAGAACAAAAAGATTAAATTATGAACATTTAATTTTTTAAATATTTTTATTGATTTCAGAGAAGGAGAGGGCGAGAGAAATAGAAACATCAATGATGAGAGAATCATTAATTGGCTGCCTCCTGCATGCTTCCCACTGGGGATCCAGCCCACAACCTGGGCTGTCCTGACCAGATGAGCCGTGACCTCCTGGTTCATAGGTTGATGCTCAACCACTGAGCCATGCTGGCCAGGCAAATTATGAACATTTTAAAGAAATACAAAGTATTTCACTCAAAAAATCAAGCAAGTTTATGGAGTAGTTTTGTTTTCCTTTTTATTACAGTATTGTTAACATACAATATTATATTCATTTCAGGTGTACAAAGTAGTGATTTGACATTTATATACCTTACTAGAGGCCCAGTGCACAAAAATTTGTGCACTCTGGGGGGAGGGGGGGGTCCCCCAGCCGGCCTGTGCCCTCTCTCAGTCTGGGACCCCTCGGGAGATAACGACCTGCTGGCTTAGGCCTGCTCCCGGGTGGCAGAGG